TGGACTTCTAGGGCATGCTGGGTAGACACTCTCTACCGGATGAAATACAGCCCCATCCCTTGTAGTCAGTTTTATTTGGTTAGACATGTCTTCATGAGATGGTAAATCAGAGATCATCTGACAAAATTCAGGAAAAATAGTCATAGACTCCTGGCATTTATCTGTGTCTGGTTTGGGCCTCATCCATACTCTCCTTTATACCTTGATATCTGATTTGTTGTTTTGGGTCTTGATAGCCTGGGTCCCCACAATGGCAGAGTCACACACACACACACACACACACACACACACACACACACAGGATTACACAAATAATTAACAGTGATGAAAAGGGCTCTGGGAGGCAGCCCTGGGAGCAAGCTGTGGTTCCCATGTTAATTTCCCTGCAGCTAATGGCCAGACCTGTCAGCGTTGCACCTGGTAGATTTTAGGAATAACTTACAGAAGTATTCTCAGCTCCTGAGGTCGTATATTCCACTTGCTGGCAATGCCTTCCTCATGAAGCATGAAGCCTTGTTAGCATCACAGTGTCTGTAAAGAAGCTGCCTTGTGGGAGTTGAAGCAGAACCTGCTTTTGTTCCTGCTTTCTCTCTCTCAACCCATTTCTGCTGGTTAATGGCTTTTCTCCTGTGATGATAACTCTCACTTGTCAGTGCAGCTGCTCCTGCACGAGGATTCTCATTCTGTCATACTGGCACAATTGTGGGTGCCATTGTCAAAAGCTCAGTCATACAGTTTTCAGCCCTGCTTACAGGATAGTCTGTTTCTGCAGAGTCAGCCTCCAGGTTCAAGGTAAAGCTGCCTCCAAGACCCTCCACTGCTTGGAACCTTTGAGAACCAACGGTTCATTGCCTATAACCTTGGCAAACTTCTCTAGACTATCTGTTCTGCTTCTGATTTTTTTCTTTTTTCTTACTTACTCATTTCCCTTTTCTTGGCCATTCTATCCTTGGGGATCAATTAGTTCTGTCTTTGTACTGTTTTGTTTTCTGTCACAATTTTTAAATATATAACCTAGATAGTTAAAAAAAATCACCAATAACCTAAACCTACATGAAACAGGTTGCCTTTGTAGTGAAAATAAAAAAGGGGTGTGGAAGTAGTCAAGGAGAGGGAGCACTTTAGCTGGGAACCAAAGAACCTGGTCACCATTTTGGTGTTACCGAGACCTTGGGTAAATCAGTCTCGTGGACCCTTTACCTATTTGTTTGTTTGTTTCGTTTTGTTTTTTGAGACAGGATTTTTCTGTATTGCTTTGGAGACTGTCCTGGAACTGGCTTTGTAGACCAGGTTGGTCTCAAACTCTAAGAGATCTGCCTGCCTCTGCCTCCCGAGTGCTGGGATTAAAAGAATGAGCCACCACCACCTGGCTTCCTCCTTATTTGTAAAATGACCTTTACTGTCCATCCTTGTCAAGGACCCTGTGATTTTAAAGACTTAGAATACAAAATGAATTTTGTGAGACCAACCATCTTCTTCACATAAAACGTAGGCTGAATCAGAGAAAGAGCTCTTTTGTGATTGGGCATATTCTTTGTCCATAAACTTGGATATTTGCCATTAATAATGTTATATGGCAGCTGTAAACTTTCTATGATTTGCAAATACTTAGTTTATATGCCCTGTGAGGTCATAGGTTAGGGGGTTGAGCTTGGGCTTGGCTTAATTGGTTTTGTTGCATACCGTGAGCTTTTCATCTTGTTCTTGGTATTATCAAGCTGGCTTGTAAATATTTCACAACAATGCAAAAAACAAGAGTATAATTCCAACATACATTTGGTTTTCTAACCTTGAGTTAGTCATGCCATGATATTCCATTGATCAAAAACATCACATGGCCAAGGTCATTGTCAAGGTGAGATAATGGTGCAAGGAGAGGAGAAGATTGCTATGTCTGGGTAATCATTTCATATAAGATAAGCTGATTCTATATGGGTTCCTCTTATTGAAAATGAAGATAGTGGTGAAGACATGTGTATGCTACAGAGTTAAAACATTGATACTTCTGTGAAATGTAACTGGATCAACACCGCACATGCATACACACACAACACACACAACATACACACACACACACACACACACACACACACTTGGAGACAGAGTCTTCATCTAGCTCAGACTAGCAGCAACCTCTTTTTGTAGTAAAATCTGGCCTTGAACCCCTGATCTTTTGCCTTCACCTTCTGAGTACTTAGGTTACAGGTATAGACTACCTCTCCCGGCTCTGAATCTGTTTCTAAGAGATGCTGTTTGAGGCTGGCTGAGTGGTTTCACTGGCACACACTTGAAGGTGCATCTGATACTTTCAGTTTGCTCAAACAAGGAGTGGTAAACTCACAACACTACCTAAGGTGCCTGAGCCCCTCTACATTGCCGGACTGTGAAAAGTTTCTCTGAATCGCTGACTGAGCAAGCAGATAAATGACTGCTTTTTCTAGTCAAATGGCAGATGAATTTGCAAATGCTGACCAGAACAAGGCTAAATAAGAGAAAGTAAAGCACTTCAGAGGAGAACTACCATAAAAACACCAGCACACCTGTCTCACAACTTAAAAATTATGTAGATTTACATTGTACTCTAAAATCATCTCTCCCTTTGCTAAAACTATGTCTTCAAATCTGCCACTTTTTAATCTTGATATTTCTGATTGTATTTGTGTCTTCAAATAAAGCAACAAGCTAAATCCACAATAAAATGCAAACACATTCCTGATGATTAAGTTGTTTAAATAAAAATAATTATTCAAGGACCAACAGCAATGTATACAGGGCAAGTTTTTGTTACTTGGGAACCAACAAGGAATTGGGAACAGTTAAAGGAAGCAAACAGCTTATTTGTCCATTTGTTGAGCTGCATTAGTTATCTACTGCTATGTGGCAACTTACACTGAAATTTGGTGAGTGCTTCACACAATACTGGTTTACATAAGCCAGTTTCAGTCAGTGTTGGAGCGGATACAGGGGTGTTCAACTTTTTGACATTGTGATTTGACAATGTGATCTATGTGAGTTTTTTGGGTCACATTCATAGCTATTATGGGATGAATATAGCCTATGGGTCACAAGTTGGTCATGCCTGGATGGACAGGGCCATCATGAGAGCCAAGTGTCTGACTGAGGTTTTCATCTGTGAGGGGGGATTTACACCAGTTCTGTAGTTTTCACTTTTGTTTGACCACATGAATCAATGGAGAAAGCTAATGCAGGTACCTCACTTCTCAGAGGGGAAGATTTAATGGATTTAGAGTGGTATTAGTGTTAGATAGTATTAGAAAACAAACTTTGAAGTTGTTTTCAGCTGCAGTTAGGGATAAGCATATTACCAGTGGAGAAAATGTTTCATCTGGGGATTAAAGACCACTCAGTATTTGCTATACATGTCTGTCAACAACATCTGTTCTCCCCCCTCCACTCCCCGGGGGCAAGGAGTGTGGGATCTTTTGAGGTAACAAGGGAGATTTGTAATTTGTTCAGTTGTAAAACATTGCTGAACACAGCGTAAGCCTGACTAATGAGACTGTTTTCCTCTTCGTTTGTAAATTCTGCTTAAGTGTTTCAGAAAATGTTGGTAGAGACAGGATCACCCTTTTACTTCCAGTCCACTCTATCTGTTTTGAGACTAGTCAAAGCAGGTGGGCTGGATGAACCAGAAAGTCTCCAGCTGGACTGCCTGTGGACTTATGTAAGTGTCTCTTAACAGTATGATGCATGCATGCATGTGTGCACATGAGCACATGTACACGGACAGTCAGAACTGAGAAAAAGACCACCCAGATCCAGGAACTGATGAATTTCATTCATTTCTAGAAGGCAGCTGGTTTCTTGGCTACTTAACTCTTTCATCTATCTCCGTTTTGGTGCACGTGGCTGGCACTTGGGCTGAACATGATGGAGAGAAAGGGTCAGGGAGGATTGGGGATGTGATTCTTGTACAGGGTAATATATTTTCCTTTAGTGACAATGAGAGACAGAATTTCAATATGAAGACCTTTAGCAAACATTTGGAATCACTGTGATGATTTTTGACATTTTTGCCTTAGAATTTTCTCAGGGGATGTGACAAAAGTCAGAGAGGATCACAATTTTGGCAACTAGTTTAAGATGATGGAAAACATTCAGAAGATTTTGTATAGGCATGTTTATGATGTGACTGTGAAGTGTTTCCCACAGGCTCATGTTTATCCAATTGGTCCTCAGCTGTTGATCATGTCCAAAGGTCAAGGAACCTTTTAGACATGGGATCTAGCTGGCAGATCTGAGAGGGGAGGGGCTGAGGAGTTACTGGTCTGTCTTTTCTGCCAGTGTCATGTAACAAGCAGCTGTCACATGGCCCTGCCACCTTGCCTTCCCCTCTATGATGGCCTGTATCCTTCAGATCATGAGCTAGAATAAGCCTCTCTTTTGTTAAGTTTCTTACTGTCGGGTATTTGGCAACATCATAAAAAATTTAACAAATAAAGCATATGCTGGAAATCACTGTCTTCCCCCAGTCAGAGTACTGAGATAAAATATAGAGTGAACTTTTTCAAAATGACAGCAGCTGATGTGTACCTCTTACATAAACAAGTAGGTCGCTGGAACTGGCACTGGGTGGAAACATTGCTTTATCTTCTAGCATTGTGGTCCTCAACTTTCCTAATGATGCATGTGACCCTTTAATACAGTTCCTCACACTGTGGTCACACCCAACCAAAAATTGTTTTCATTGCTACTTCATAACAGTAAGTTTGCTATTGTTTTGAATCATAGTGTAGACATTTTTTTTGGAGATAGAAGTTTGCCAAAGAGGTTGAGACCTGCAAGTTGAGAACTACTGCTCTACCTCTTATTTACACCTCAAGTGTGTGCAGATAAAAGACTGCAGGTGTTGGGAAAAGCAACTCCTTTATTTCCATCGTTCACTTGCACTGCAGCAAAGGCTCGGCTGGTTGGTGATGATGTTAATAGAGAACAGTATCTGTCTTTCCGAAAGAATGCAGAAATGGTCTATTGTGTGGCAAAGCTCAGAAGCTCACAGTGCCTCCAACTCATGACAAGGCAGAGCATGCCCAGTGGGTTCTTGAATGCACATATACTTGATGGGAGGCAGTGGGGGCTTAAAAGGTGGGGGTCTTTCCATGCTGGGAATAAAACATTTCTCTTTCAGTGCCGAGAGTGCCAGTGAAGTAATTTTTTTCTAATTTTCTAATTTTCATTTATCCTATGTGTCTTTCACATCATGTATCTTGATCCTATTCATTTCCCCATCCCTTTGCATCCACCCATGAGGTGGTACTTTTTAACATTAGTGCTATATTGATGAAGAGATACATTCTATCTTCTTAGAAGTTTTGGCAGGTTAACTCAGAAAACAATCTTACCAAAATTTTAATTAATATGGCTTTATCCGTACATACATGGTTAGTCCACTTTATAGTTTGCAAAGTGATTTCGATCTTGGCACTTATTTTCTACCTAAGAATTATTATAATCGCTGTTTGACAGATAAAACTGTGGCATAGAGGTTTGAGGGCACTTGCTTAAGAGAAGCAGCCCAGCAAGTGAAGTCTTGTAACTAGATCCCATAATCTCCATGGCAACTGCCTCCTAATGGAAGGAGCTTTACTCTCACATGGGCAAAACATCCCTCTCGAGACAGAAACATAAAATTCAAGGGCTTTTTCAAATAGTAACTTTGCCAACTCTACCCTCAGCCTTTACGGGCACACTCATGGACACAGAGAGGATCTGGAACAAGTGGGAAGTGAGGGGCTCCTGTACTCCTGGGTTGGTTGGTGGGATAATGCACTCTTGAAGTTGTCTTTGTGTAAAGTTCTATTTCACAGTAGCACAATCTATCTCTTGTTTTATTTGAACTAAGCTTCCAGGTTCATGAGGGATTTTTGTTGTGCCAATGCTCAAAGATATTTTGTTATCATGAAATAGGGAAATCTCTGTGAGAATTTTTGTGTTCCTACTCTGGCCATAAATAGCATCTCAATTTAGAGAGAGAATGAGTGAGGAGGAGAATGGGAAGGATAGGAGGGGGAGAAAGAGAATATTTTGTATATTTTATCTTTATATAACTTAGATATTTAGGCAGAGAATAATTGAAAAACAGTATTTTTGTACTTCCATTTATATTAACATAAATATCCCTAATTGAAAAAGATTTATTTTTATTTAATGTGCATGTCAGGTGTGAGTGCAGGTACCTTCAGAGACAAGAAGAGGCAATCAGAACACCTGTAACATGAGGTGGTGAGCTACCAGACACAGGTGGGGAATGAACCTGGGTCCTCTACAAGAACAGCAAGTACTCTTAAGCAGTGAGCCATTTTCCAGCCCCATAATCTGTAATTCTCATTACCTTGTTTGTGAATGTTTAAAAATATATCAAAATGTGGATTTGAATCCAAGATGTTGTATTTTTTAAGAAAAAATATAAATTTCTTAAGGCCATATGGTGTTCAAGATACAGTCCTTGGATTAAAAACAAACAGAATATTGATTTTGTTTTTAATTATCATTAAATATTTGTTGCTTATAGAGCAGGAATATTCACTTTTGACATTGAGACATGATGTTCCCTCCATCTTCAAACATGGTTGGGACACATTCATAGCTTTTCTGGAATACATGTAGTAGATAGGGTGCCTTTTGGGTATACCTACTACAGTGTTCAGGGGTACTCCAGGAAGAGGATTCTGTGCAGTAATGATTGTTATATTAGATGGCAAACACATGGAGATCAGCGCTATGCATTATGGGCTCTCCTGTAGTCACAGCCTAGTCCAGACTCACCCCAATCACTGAATCAGAAAAGGGAAGTATACCCTTCCACCTACTAAAGACTGCTGCATAGAGAACTTCTTGTGAATAAAAGAGAAGAGATGGGAGAAGCCTGCTCCGATGGAGAGCAGCTGGTAAGTCCTTAGAAATTATTTCTCTTACTCAATTTCACACTTGAGCATCTGAGCCCAGCTGATCCCAGTCAGGTCAAAAATGCATGAAAATGAAAAAATAATGAAGATTAAAAAAGACACCCAGTTTTAGCTTTGCCGCAAGGACAGCCTTGGTTCTCACACACAAATCTCACACACAAGCAAGCCAGTGCAGAGAGGGAGTTGGGGTCATGATCCATGTGCTGAGTGATCCTGGGAAAACTGTATACTCTCTACAAGCTTCTAGAAAACTGGCTTGCTAGTTAAACTAGGAGTGGATTGCCATGTAGTCTTCATATCAAGTAAATATTTTATGATGGAAAATGTAGATGTCTCTACATATCTTGACATACATTTCTTTTTTGGCACTGGCACCATTTTCTTACTCCAAACCCGAACAATATTGTGCAGAAAGAGAGCAAAGCTGCTACAACCACAGGCCAGAACATTCCATCTCTGGGCTTACTAATGGTTATATCTGACAAGGGCAGAAAGAGATAAGTGTTAGTGCCAAATGTTGGCATTGGGGAAAACAAAGGGATTTCTGTACCTCAATGTATCCCAGTGGTAGAACGCTTGTCCAGCATGCATGAGGTGCCATGTATGAACCTTGATACCACCAAAGCATTAACTTTTCATGTGGAAGAGACATGTTTTCCTCAAGGATTATGAGGTATACACTATATGTTTCTTTATATAGGAGATGAAAACGAAATAGTTGATTAAGTATCCTGTCAGCAATTTTCTATGACTACAAGACCATATAAGTATATACATGTGTGCCATAAAGATAAATTTCATATATTATAAATGGGTGCATCCTTGCATACTATTTTGTTCCAAACCTCTTAGAATGTATTTAGAGTTATTTTCATGGCAATGTACAATGATGCATCTCATTCTTATGCCTGGTTAATTCTCTAGTACTATAGTTAATTTAATTTGTTTCATAATGTTAGATGGTCAAATTACTTCAAGCTTTCTTTTTTTATTCATATAATACTTGAGCAAAATTTATTAGACATACAGTTTATTGTTTTTGAGACAGGATTTAATGTATTCTAGGTTTCTTGGAAGTCACTATGTAGCTGAGGATAACCTTGAACTTGTGATCCTTCTGTCTCTACCTCTTGAATGGAGGATTATAGATTTGTGCTTCCATGCCTAACTTGTGAGGCTTTGAAGATTAAACTGAGGGTTTACTGCATGCTAGTTAAGCCCTCTACCAACTGAGCTACATTCTCAGACTCCATTCATTCATCCATTCATTCATTCAGTGCCAGTGAATCAAACCCAGACACTTGAACATGCCTAGGCAATCACTCTACCATACCTTAAGAAATTTGTAATTTTTCTAAAAGAAAGTACAAGTTTCCTGGACCCAGATCCACCTTTTGATGTATTTTAGGCCTCCATGAAAGCATTCACAAAAAAGGTAATAAGAATTATAGATCATGGGGCTGGAAAGATGGCTCAGTGCTTGAGTACTGACTGCTCTTACAGAGGTTCAGTTCCCAGTGCCTGTGTCAAGTAACTCACAATGCCATGTAACAGTAACTCTAAGGCATTTGATTGCCTCTTCTGGTCCTCAAGTGTACTTGCACTCACACTCCAGGAATATCTATACTGGTTTATACAGATAATTTGAGCAAAAATGATCTAGATTGATTTTTTTTCCTGTTTCAAATTGGTAAATTGTGGGTGGTGATAAGGTCTATGTTTCTTTGTTCCCTGGCTTTTATTATTTATTTTTATGCAGTAAAGTTTAAAAACAATAGGAATTAAAGGACTGACTTAATCAGTTTCATGAGGTTGGGATTGCAGGTCAGTGCTAAAGAGTTACCTAGTGTGCCCAAAGCTTTGAGTTCAATCTTCATTACTGAAAAAAAGTAGTACTATCAATATTTTGTATGTTTACATAGTTTTGACTACAGCCATGTTTATCATTATGATTAAATCTAAAGCTTTTCCTTTTCATACAACACACAGTTTTGATCTTGCTGATGACACCTCCCACCTCAATCTGCCATAGGAAACACTGAAGATATCTTTGAAGCTTATGATGCTCTATCCATAAACACATGGTGCTTTGTCTCTACTAATGGCTAGAGTTCATAGTACAGTCTGTGATATAGCATGAGAGAGAGAGAGAGAGAGAGAGAGAGAGAGAGAGAGAGAGAGAGAGAAATCATAGATAATGAGTCTAGAGCTGAGTAGAGTTCTCTTCTTCAAGTCAAAACTTACTAGGCTGTATCTAGAAATCATATAAGAGCCAACATTTTACAACCAGCATTTTAGAAAACACAAGAAGAAAATGTTCAAACAAGTTTCATGTCAAGGCAGGTGAATTATCTTTTGAGATTCAACCTTTCCAATCACGTCTCTCATGATCATAAAGTCAGTGTCATGAAGCTGTTGGTTAGAACTTTGTCTTTGGTTCCTTCACCACGATGTGTGTGAGATAATGCTGCAAGCGATGGGCAATTGTATGGCTGCCCATGTGAAAGGTTATGTGGCTCACTAGTCAACTGAGCATGCTCATCACCATGTGAAATTATTGACTATTCCTATGACTTGACAGTCATGACCTCTGTGAAGGTTTAAACTCCACTTAATCACTTGCTGTTTCAAGATGTAGAACAAGGAATTGCATTTGCACTGACATAATTTTTATTAGTCGAGCTACGGGAATACTCTTTATTACAACAATCTTTCTTGTCTCAAATAATGTTTTCATAAGCCTGCAATGTTTCTTCTAGTTTTCAATTGGCTAATTCTTCTTCCTTTTTATTCTTTCAGATTAATTTAAAATGTAAGCACCTTAGAGCATTTCCCATTCTCCAGTTAAAATCAGGTCTTTCTGTTAGATTCTGAGAACACTTTATTGTAACGCTTTTCACAAACAAGTTCAACTGTGGGGATTGTTTTTTGTATGTCATTTCCAATGAACCATAATCTTTAGGATGCCAGTGACACTATATATCCAATACATGCCAGAATGTCTGGAAAGGTGCTCAAAATATATTCACTGAGTAAATGAAACATAAAATTCAAGAAAAACAACTCACTGGTGATATGGCTGTGGTCATCTTCAGCTGTTCCTCTTGCAGTTGTAGGGACATCTGGAATTCTTTGGTTGTGCTAGTGATGACATCTAGAGATGTAAAGGCATTTGCAAATTCATCTTGACAGCCATTTCAATATGATCAAGTGATATAAACTCATAATTAAGTTACAAGTATTACTTGGAAAATCTCAATTTGAATGACCTCAACATACCTATGTCAAGTCTGATTGGGCTTAGGAGCTATTTATGCATTAAATTTAATTATAAAGACATAGGTATAGCAAGGCTGGGGTCCTGGAATCTGTCTAATAGCTACAAAATGAGTGGAATTTCCTGAAAGTTTAAGGAATAGTGTCTTCACACTTCTGAATTATAAAGCAAAGATGGATGAAGAAACTCCCTGAAAAATATGAGTAGCTTAGCAAAAAAAAAGATATGGTTTCAGACATAATCTCACAGGTTAGTTAAGATTCAACTAATCAGGCTCTCTGCTCCTCCCTGTTCTAGAGACAGCCGCATCTTTTTGTTCAGTGCCAGCCTTGTTTCTGAGACACAATGGTGAAGGTTGGAGTGAACGGATTTGGCCGTATTGGACGCCTGGTTACCAGGGCTGCCATCAATTCTGGCACAGTGGACATTGTTGCCATCAATGACCCCTTCACTGACCTCAACTACATGGTCTATATGTTCCAATATGACTCTACCCATGGCAAGTTCAAGGGCACAGTCAAGGCTGAGAATGGGAAGCTTGTCATCAATGGGAAGGCTATCACCATCTTCCAGGAGCAAGATCCCGCCAACATCAAATGGGATGATGCTGGTGCTGAGTATGTTGTGGAGTCTACTGGCGTCTTCACCACCATGGAGAAGACTGGGGCCCACTTGAAGGGTGGGGACAAGAGGGTCATCATCTCTGCCCCTTCTGCTGATGCCCCCATGTTTGTGATGGGTGTGAACCATGAGAAATATGACAACTCCCTCAAGACTGTCAGCAATGCTTCCTGCACTACCAATTGCTTAGCCTCCTTGGCCAAGGTCATCCATGACAACTTTGGCATTGTGGAAGGACTCATGACCACAGTCCATGCCATCACTGCCACCCAGAAGACTGTGGATGGCCCCTCCGGGAAGCTGTGGTGTGATGGACGTGGGGCTGCCCAGAACATCATCCCTGCATCCACTGGTGCTGCCAAAGCTATGGGCAAGGTCATCCCAGAGCTGAACAGGAAGCTCACTGGCATGGCCTTCCGCATTCCTACCCCCAATGTGTCTGTCGTGGATCTGACATGCCGCCTGGAGAAAGCTGCCAAGTATGACGAAATCAACAAGGTGGTGAAGCAGGCATCCGAGGACCCACTGAAGGGCATCCTGGGCTACACCGAGGACCAGGTTGTCTCCTGCGACTTCAACAGTGACTCCCACTCTTCCACCTTTGACGCTGGGGCTGGCATCACTCTCAATGACAACTTTGTAAAGCTCATTTCCTGGTATGACAATGAATTTGGCTACAGCAACAGGGTGGTGGACCTCATGGCCTACATGGCCTCCAAGGAGTAAGAGCCCATCCTGGACCATCCACCCCCAGCAAGGACATGAGCAAGAGAGAGGCCCTGGCTGCTGATCAGTCCCTGTCCAACAACACCCGACACTAATCTCCCTCACAGTTTCCATCCCAGACCCCTAGAATTAAGGGGCTTAGGGAGCCCTGCTCTCTTGAGTATCATCAATAAAGTTCACTGCACCTGTAAAAAAAAAAAAAAAGATTCAACTAATCAAAATATGGATTCTCCATGCTTCAATATAGTAGAAGTTCATTAAAGATTCTTTTGAAATAAATAAGCAAGTTCACATTGATCCATCATTCCATGTCCAGTGGAAAATTAAAAATCGAGAGACATTTTCAGAGGTGTAACTGGTCAAGACATCATCATATACATTTCTTTTGATGCAAACTATATAAAAAAAAACCCTAAGGTTTTTTTCTCTCTGTGTCTTGTCTGAATGACTGAAGGATTTTCATATCACTCGTCATTTTCATCAGGAGGAAGCTCTTTAAAACACCTGTCTGTGAATGGCATCTCATCATTCTTGTCTTCCACCTGGGCCCACATAAGCATACCACTGTCCTGTGTGTCACTCTGCCTTTTGTAGAGACTCACCATGAGGAGCCAACCTTGCCTCTGAATGGGCTGAAGTGTTCATTTCACTGAGAACCAATGAAACTGCTAATGGAAGAAGACATGCGGAGTCAGTTTTTGTGGTCATATTTTTCTTCATCATTAATTGTGTCCAACAACTGGGAAATGGCACAGTAATGAATACTTAAAATGATCTTATCCATCAGCCTTGCAAAGGACATTTGGTCCCAAATACAGTGGGAGTTGAAGAGATGCTATGATTTTAACACCTCTAGTTGGGAGAGTTTCAGTGATAGTCACTGCTTAGGTTTAAAGTTGTCTCCTATAAAAGATGTTGACAAAGGGAGAGCATTAGAAGTGAGTCTTTAAGAGATCAGTACACTACAGGAGCTTCTTCCCTGATGGATGGTCTTAAGACCCTTATGAAAGAGGCTTCTTGGAGCATCCACCCCAGCCTTTCAACCTTGTGCCATGTGAGGACCTAGCAAGGAAGTCTTCCTCAAATGCTTGCATCTTGATCTTGATCTTCCAGTATCTAGAGCTATGAGAAAAGGAATACATTTTCTTAACAAAACATGTGGTCTTATTGTCTCAGAAGGATGAAAGTGGATTGACTTAGTCCCTTAACAATAGGATGAAAGAATGGAAGAAAGCTCCTCCGGCATGGAGAACAGGCTCTCATCCATCCCTCAGAGAAGCAGAAAGAAGGGAAGTATTGCGGTAAATAAGGATCAGGATAAACAAATAGGCCGAATAGATGTTTATTCAGGGAGAAATAACTTACAACCTAGACAGATGAACACCAGGAAATTCAACCCGATCCTCTCCTGTCCGAGTCACGCCAGCAAGAGAGCGCCTTCCTGGCCCCCTCCGACCTCCTTCCTCAGGTCCTCTCCGCCCATCGCTCCACCCCCAATGGGCGTGGTCAGTGCTACAGAAGGACTACCTCACTACAATTCCCCTTTTAGTCTAAAGAAAAGATTTAGGCTTAATACAAAACTATATACAAAACAGTGAATAACAAGTGTGCTCTAAGAAAAGGAAAATCGAGAACAAAATGACCTACATATCTAGTCCTAGTGTGAGGGCATAAATGGAGTTTACAATAGAGTTGTCCTAAGCTGGAAAATGTAAGTCTAGTACCTAATATATCTAACTAGGAAGAGAGAATAATAGTTGTGATAGTTTAATCTTCAACCTCATCAAGACCTGAGAAGGAAATTAACAATACTAGAGTAGACAGGAAATGCGGATGGACAACTTCCAAAAGGTGCAGCAAGGACAGAAACAGCAAGCCACCTGAACAGTCACCCTAGGTCTCACAGCGACGTTGGTACACCCAGATTTGGCTAAGGCCAAGAGAACTTGACAGACCACCACAACAGCAGGGAAATAGAATGGCTGTCTTACCCTGACTTGGCAAGGTCAAGCAGTCTTCTATATTTGTCTCCTGCAAGCACATAGGACTGCATGTCCAAATCAGTGGTCAAGATGGGGGCAATTCTATGCCCAACAGGCCATTAGCTGAGGCGAGATTGAACTCCAGCAGGAGCAACAACAGTGTCCAACAAATTTTCGGGGAAAGTGCACGGTGCTGTCAGGAGCAACAGTGTCTCATGTCAATGGAGTACTAATATTAAAACATTTAAATGCCATGTTCTGCATGTCTATGAAGTGATTGAAGATTAAGCATCTATATCTGACTAATCTCATAGGTACAGGAAATGTGAGTGAAGATAATCTGTAATACTCGGGAACTTAGCTAAAAAGACTGATTAAAACTTTCCTGAGTAAAGCAGGAACAAATATTTAAACAATATAACTATTTACATATACCTACATGTAAATCCCTAAAATAGAGGTAGAGTATAAGTGTCAAGACAAGAGGTAGAACTATAAAGGGCAGCAAGATAAATATCCCAAATTGTATCAATATACAAAATGTCTTGAATACAGGAAAAGTATACATACATAGAATATGGTAAAAAATAATGTGCATAAAATATTATAAGTGGAAACATTTAACACAATATAACAAAATATAAACTTAATTTTACATAGCTTACCACATAAGAATACACAACAATGTAAGCTGTAAAATACTATCTCATTCTTACTCAAATTCTCAAGAAAATAGGCTAATCTACCTATATCCCATCTAAACCATACCTTTACCAACCATTCCCTATTCCTGTCTAAAAGATAAACCCGAGTGTAAGCATCACCCAATCCCAAATAACTAAAACCAACCCAAAGACGATGACTATTATCCCAAAATTCCAAGGGTAGGGAAAGGGGGCGTAGTCATATTAAGATTACTTCCTGCTGAAATGGGACGATGATTGCTCCAATGGATCCTGTAGGAAGAAAATTTTTAGCAACCAAATTTCTCAACAGAACTGGCTGTGACATATGTAGTTAGTCACTGTGTGGCAGAAAATTCTTGACTGTAGTTCTATTTGAAACTGGCCAGGGTGTAATAAAAAGGTACACCATTACAGCTAGCTAGTCATGAGTTGTCTCGAGCAAAACAGTCTCAAACCGGTTTTAGGGTGATGTTTGTAGTTCCGATGCATCAGGTTGAGTCAAGTGGAAATGATGATGTGGGGCCCCATCTTCTTTCCGGAAAGTTCAAAGACTGCTGTTAGGAATCGTTATTATTCCTTGTGGAAAAGTTACACATCAATATTAAAGTAAAATTTTCAAGTTTTAAGGTATGCATTAGGGAAAGACAACAATAAGCATTAAAAGTATGTGAGAAAATTAGGATTTCAGAGGAAAATTGCATAAGATATGAGTCCCCAGATTTTGTTTTCTTCTGCCTTACACCAATTGGCTTCTTGATTTAAGGCAGAAACCATGAATTTAATCTTAACAACATGCTTGAATTTAGAGAAGGAAAGCCAAATCCAACTCCAAAGCCAGCATTGGTTTACAAAATTTGGGACTTCAGGAATACTAGATAGTAGAGAGAAATAGATTTCTATATAGAAATAGTTTACTACAATTAAATATTTTTTTTTTTACCATATATCAGATTCTGCTTCCTTAAGTGATTGTTTCTGAAGAGCTGTCTTCTCTTCTGTAGACACCTACATGTTCATTGTCTTTTGGCTGTTTGATGATAGGTTTTCTCTGTTTTCCTGTAAAAACAAGAACAGAACACTTCCCCTACCTTTGAGAGGCCTCAGCACACCTCATAGGACCTAGTTTGTTGGATGACTTGTCATTTCTCTTCATTAAGATGTTTCTCTTGTTCAACTCGGATCTTGATTAACTTAGATGGTATCCATAGTTTTTCTTCTCCTGTAGATACAAATGCAAAACCCCTACCCCAACGTAACACATATCCTGCTTTCCATTCTGAGGTCAGTACATCCTTGAAATACACTGGCTGATTTAGTTCAGAAGTTTTTTCTATTGTCCAGTGTCTTTCTGCAGCTGTTTTTCCTTTTTCATCAGCATTAAGAAAGTTTAATGTTAATAAAGCATTATGTAATCTGTGTTTGGGTGTTTTGGTTCCTCCTGCCTGTTTATGGAGCATTTCTTTTAAAGTACGATTGGATCTCTCAACCACTGCTTGTCCTGTAGGATTGTGTGGTATACCAGTTATGTGCTTTATCTTGTAATACTCAAAAAACTCTTTCAATTTGCTGGAGACATATGCTGGAGCATTGTCAGTTTTTATTTGTGCAGGTATGCCCATAATGGCCATTACCTCTAAAAGGTGCGTTATAACAGAATCAGCCTTTTCAGAGCTCAGAGCAGTAGCCCACTGAAACCCTGAAAATGTATCTATAGTGTGATGTACATATTTTAATTTTCCAAATTCTGCAAAATGAAACACATCCATTTGCCATATTTCATTCCTATTTATACCTTTAGGGTTACTGCCTGGTGGTAAAGGAGTTTGGTTATAGAATGAGCAAGTAGGACATTTCCTTACTATTTCCTTGGCTTGTTCCCAAGTGATAGAAAAATCCTTTTTTAAACCTTTACTGTTCACGTGGTGTTTCTTATGAAACTCTGAGGCTTCTAGCACACTTCCTATCAATAAACGATCAATTTCATCATTGCCTTGTGCTAGAGGACCTGGCAGACCCGTATGGGATCTGATGTGTGTTATATATATAGGATGAGTCCTCTTTCTGATAGTATCTTGTAACTGTATAAACAACGAAGTTAATTCTGTATTGTCAGGAATAAATTCTGCAGTCTCAATGTGTAAAACGACTCTCTCTGCGTATTGAGAGTCAGTAACTATATTGAGGGGTTCTTTAATATCCATAAGTACCATGAGAATGGCATACAATTCTGCCTTTTGTACAGAATTGTAAGGGCTTTGAACCACTTTGCTAATATTTCCTGATTTATATCCTGCCTTACCTGATTTATTTGCATCAGTGTAGAATGTATGAACTCCAGAAATAGGTGTTTTTCTTACAATGCGTGGAAGAATCCAAATCGTTTTCTTTATGAATTTGATTCTCTCAGTTTTGGGATAGTTGTTGCTAATTGTTCCCAAAAAGTTACTGCAAGCTCTCTGCCAATATTCGTTATCTTTCCATAAGGAAGAAATTTCCTCATTAGTTAAAGGTACTATAATTTCTGCTGGGTCCCTTCCTATTAGCTGACGAAGTCTTAATTTACCTTTTAAAATCAAGTCAGAGATCTTTTCTATATATGTTTTCAGTTTTTTATTCTGTTTATGTGGTAGGAATATCCATTCTAACATGATATCTTCTCTCTGCATCAAAATCCCTGAAGGATATTCTCTAGATGGTAATATAACCAGAATACAGTCTAGGTTTGGATCCACACGGTCCACATGTGCTTCTAGTATCCTCTTTTCTACCCATTCTAATTCCTTCTCAGCTTCAGCTGATAGTATTCGTGGACTATTCAAGTCCTTATCTCCTTTTAGGGCCATTTTCAAGTTTTTCAAATCATGCCCTTCTACTCCAATTATGGTTTGCAGTTGAGAAATCTCTCCTAGTAATTTTTGAAGATCATTAAGAGTCTGGTAGCGATCTCTTCTGATCTGTACTTTTTGTGGTCTAATTTTCTGTAGACCTATTTTATATCCT